GCTCTCCTTAGGGTTTTACAATGTCCCGGTTTTTACTGTTTTTCTTTTCATAATTAGTTCTCTGCGAATGTTCTCAGGTTGTACTTGACACTTTAAACCTGCTTAGCTCCTTCCGTTTAGTGTTCTTTTGGTAGATTACAATATTGCATCGCTCTTCTTCAGAGGTATCCATTATCTATGTGCCTCAACGATGATCATGATTCTTTCACATTTCTATCATAATGTTCATTAATGTGCTTTGCGTTTCCTGTCTTGGTTTTGTTTAAACATATATAGCTACTTCTTCTTAATGTATATGATGACGTTGTACTTATTATCAGAAATTTTATTCTATTACTCACGACAAACCATGCCGAGATACTGTGATTGCTAACGTTGTGCTACCGTGAGGCACTGTAAAACCCGGTGCTTTGTCCTGTGTACTGCTGCTCTAGAGAATTTTATAAATAAATATTATAATAAGTGTTTTAGTGTCAATTTACTTACAGCTTCGCGGTGATTCATAATTAATGCAGAAGGATGAAACAGAGATGGTGACATTTGATGGCAGCACTCCAAATCTTGATTTTGACAGCGTTTCTTACGATTAACCTCCCTCCCACCTTGAGATCTATGAATAAATTAGACTTGTCTACTCCAGAATCAAGGGATGCGATCAGAAACATTTCAATCTAAAAATTCTAGTATTAGGAACTACTAGAGTGTTGAAATTCCTACAACATTGAAATACAATTGCCGCTTTTTTCCCAGCTTTTTATGAACTAGTTAATCAAATAAGTGAAATATTGCGGCGTGATAAGTACACTGATTTCTAATAAGTAAAATTAGACATCACCTTTCTGCACTGCTTCGTTATCAATAACGTAACATTGCAGCAATTAAGAAACATTCAAGTAGCTAATAAATTAGCTTCAGCACCTGCTATGAAGTACTAAAAGGGAAATTAAGCTGTTACAAACAGCTTTGAGTACTTACTAACACCTTGCTACTATTGTAACCTTTGTATGACATAAACTGTATCTTTTTCGGTTTTACGGAAACCACGCAGTTCAACTGCCTGCTTTACTCAGAAAGGAACTTCCAGGCGCATATTGAATGCAAACGTATGCACTTTCTCTAAATTCTAGCCGTCAAAGGGTGAAATGACGTATTAAGGTCGTCTGCGGTACTGTACCAAGAACAATGTGTTCTTTTTCACTTTGTTTCGTCGACTTCCATTCTATGGATCCATTCATGTTGAAAATGCTTGCAATGAAACAAAAGGTGTATTATCTAGGTTCAGAGATGTCTCTCGCATTTATGAGCTATCATTAAAGCTCTCAGCACCCATGTCCTTT